GGTCTTCCGGGGTCAAATAATTTCCAATTTCTTAGTTTCGATTAAATATTCGCGGAGGCAGTGGTGGGATCAGGAAGTCAAGCGGTTCCGTATGTTCGTAGTGCTTGACTAAGAAGGTTGCCTAGCCCATTTCTGAGCTCCATTTTCTTCCATCATTAACGATTTCCGATTTCCGATTTCCGACAGCGATGATAAGTGAGAGTAAGAAGCAGTAGTACCGGTTTTTACGGAGACGTTGGGTTTCATTGAATTTTACCTTTCTTTTGCTTAGCAAGACGTCATATACATAGCACTAAAAAGGGTTACGTCGTGCTGCTGCTGTGATTAATTACAAGGCATACATTGCGTGCCGGCTATCCATCAGTTATCCACAATATCACATCCGGAATACATTAGCAGCAGCAGCAGCGGCGGCGGTGGCGCTGGCGTTGCCGGTGATGGGAACGGGAAACGTTTTAGTTGAGACGTTGACCGGTGTACGGGAGTGGTGATGGTCGCAAATAACAGATGTCATCTAATACATTACACGCAACGGTGACTAATTGACCTCGACTGCTTGATAGATGGACATGAAAGGGATACTGTAGCCGGATGGAAACACCTATAAAGACGGGTCACTTTAGATGAAGGGATTTAGCCAAACATTGGCAAAAATATCGCTTTGAACGGTGTTTTTTCCAGCAAATGGTGGAGAGGAATTAGGCCAAATAGTTGCTGTGGATTACAGTAATCCCATTATGCAGAGGGGGTCCTTTAAAGTCACGAAGTTTTATGGGCTTTGTTTCGTGGCCACGTCCTCGGTTTTTTATGTTGGAAAGGGGGCTGAACGGTGTGAAGAAACGATTATGAACAAGGGATGGAAGATTCTCAGCCCAAGCGCGGAGGGTAAGAACCCGAGTGTGAGTGAACCAATTCCTCTAGGATGAAAAAAGGTTATGCGACGGCTGATAAACACCCGCGTCGCAAACCCAAGTTGTCCAAGTTTAGAATATATCAGTCATAGAGCTAGGATGTCAACCGGATGTGGAGATCAGAACCCCTGCCCGAGTTCTGTGGAGAATAAGCAAGGACTTCAGCGAACCCTGCGGCTGGCCGGGCTTACCGTGAGGGGAAAAAAGGGTTGTGTAAAATGAGCTGAATTGTTAGCATATTACTTTTTGAAAAAGTATTACATCTGAAGGCGAAATTTACAGTTTTGGAAAGCATGAAGGAAGTCAATGTTAATTGCTATCTACGCCCTGCATAAAAATGCCCTTCTTGCTCCTTCAGAGAGGAAGCGCCCTTCAAAGATAAAGAGAATCCATGACTTATCGTTCGACAGTGTTAATAATGGGTCCTCCTCTTCCGAACCCAATTGTCATCGAATAACGGTTTCCGATTTCCGGAGGGCGACGCATGAAGGAAATGCCCGATCTTTTGGATTTCGAGTGGATTCGGGTCAAAGCGTCGGTAGCGAAGAACAAGCAGTGTTGTATGAGGGAGCGCCTTCCACCGAATAAAAGGGCTACGAGATGTCCCGACTTCTCTCACGCGGAAGGAAGGTGAAGAAGGTTCGAATGTTGCGGATAATCTGTCTTGGACTAAGGAGGGGTCGTAAGTCATATAAGCCTATTGCATCTGAAGTGCTCTTCAAGCTAAGAAAATAGGCCAGGTAATTTTGTCATTTGCAATACTCGAAATGTACAAGAGTATACACTTTTTGTAGCAGGAATTGTAAGCTCTCAAATGGTTCCAAATCAGGCCGGGCCAAAAGTTCTAAATGCAAACAAAATGCAGTCGACTAAAGTACTGCAAAATTAGCGAAACACCACTGAGTGTGGCAGGATGAACAACGCCGCGTGGGTGATTCGATTTACCACGGCGGCGGCGATGGCTGCCAAATATTTAGGATATAACGAGGGTCCCTAAAGTTGTGAATCTGAATGGAACATTTCCAAAAAAAATCTCACTAACTTGTTTCTTATGGATAAGTAGAGCGGGTTCGTTCAGCGTCAGCTTTTCCCAAGATTTGATTAAATTCATTAGAATATTCCTTTTTGGAGTAATCATATTCTTGATGGGTCTGGGGTGGTTTTCCACTGGACCACCACCCCACGTAAGAATATAGCACGTGCACCCTTAGTAGGGAGGAGAGGGGACGCCGGACAGTGGGTGCGAATTCTTGGGTCTTATGGCACCGCAGCCAGACCCTTGCATTCACTTTTGTCCTCCAGGCGTGCTCTGCCCTTCGAGGGGGCATTCTAGACAGCGCGCGAGGTATGGTGACATCTTTAGCTAAGCTCAGTAAAGGGAAGCAGGCAAGGAAGATACACAGAATTGCTCACATTCTCCCACAGACAATTCCTCCTCCATTTCTAAGGATTAGTCTCAGTTCTGTAACTGGTTTACTTACCTTGGCCTCGCACCCCCCCCCCTCCCCCCCGACTCCTAACGACATTGAGTAGCGTTTCTTCTTAAATTTGATGCTAGATTGATATGGGAAATATTTAAAAGATATTCATCGTAAATAGTTGGACTGCACAGGTTATTACATTGGCCAGGATAACTCTATCGTAGATTTTCATGGAAGTCGATACGTGCTCCATCTCATAAAAACTAGTTGTCATTCATCCTCCCTAACTCTCCTTATGCAAGTGTTAATGGTTATAACTTTAGAAATCACGGTAGCCTTATTTTTTTGAGCATTCAAATGTCCATCTAAAATTTTGTAGTGGCGTAAATTGGGACAGTGATCTAGGGCAGCTGACGTTTTCCATTCCTTGGGTCGAGTGCTACCCGGGCCAAAAAAGCCTTACTTCAGTGGGGTGGCTTACCTGGCCACAAAATATCCTTCGGAAGAAGACAAACTGTTGTTGTTCAGCAGCTACCTATGCAAAGCAAGAAGTATGCATCGAAGATGCATCCCCCTTTTGTAAAGGCTCGCTGAATTCACGGCGCGATCCATTTTCTCGTTTTTTTTTTGATGATTTCAATCAAATAAAAATTTTATTTTCGCACAGAAACTTGGAAAAATTGTCTGTGATTGATCGATTCGTAAGTTCAGATCATAAAAATCGATGACAAATCTGGTGAAATCGCTTTGGTGGCCCCACTCGATTACGAGAAACGACCCCGGTTTGAAATACTCGCTGTACCCATCGATGGTGGAGACGGCATTCAGGTGTGTTGCAAATTTTGAATTAATATTTCATATTTTTATATTCTCACTCCTACGGCAGTTTATATTTGGGCAGCAGGAGGCCAGGAGCAGCGTCAACCGTCACGACTGGAAAATTTCGGAAATCAGACCAGTCAACCCACTTGGAGGGACCTCCCAACACCCATTGCCAATAAGAGAGCCTCAGGATTTAAGCCGTAAAATTAACACTAATTGACCCCCTCCATCGGTCGATGTGGAACTACAGTGTCGTGGAACTCGCCTCCACTTCACATTCCCCTATTCCAACCTAAATTTTATCCAAAATTGGCAAAATTAACTTCAATAAGGAAGGAGAGGGGGGTGAGGTTGAGCATATATTACTGTGGAAGTGGCGGAATTTTGATCTTTGAAATTTCCTCTATAAAAAAAACCAAATCCCCAAAATATGTGGCTCCCGTTCCCTCCATCATAGTCGAACTTTCTTCAATCCCAGGGGCATTATTTTTCTCCTGTTCCTTTTATGCTATTTATTTATCCTTTCTTTCAATCATTCCACGCCTTCATTTTCCTTATCTTCTCCTTTTTTGCACACAGCTTAATTCGAGTGGCCTTCATTCATCAATATTTTACAACTTGATCAGCTATTTCTGACAAAATAAGGCTACTACAAAGTTGTTTATCTTGAGTAAGAGACTTTTCCAAATTAGGTAAATTATGGGTTTTTTTAGGTCACTGTAGAAGTCGAAGATGTGAACGATCACACGCCAACATTCTCTGATGATAGGATAAAGGCAAGTCAACCTTACCTCGGGTCGTTGGAATGAAGTAAATGAGAAGCTGTTTAGCTGGAGATCTCTGAGTTCGCCCGGATCGGAGCCGCCCTATCGATTGCAAGAGGCTTGAAGATGCGATTGCGCAGCGAATTATTACCGATCCAAAAGTATCGTATCGCTCAAGGAAATGTGAACAATGTTTTCAAGGTTGGTTCGGAATTTGCAGGGGGTGCTATCGCAAGATGTTGGGGCATCCTCTGGGAGTGAGCCCTAGGAGGGGCACGAACTGCGGAGAAAATGAATGTTGCTCACGCACCGTGGAGTGTGACTTCCCCTCCCTGAGGCTTATTCTTAGTCGCATTTGGAAAAGGAGATGTCTGATGCGGTTTTGATGCATTATCACTGGAATGCTCCCGTATCTTGCCGCCTGCGGAGATTATTGTGAACAAGCACAGACCTTAGAATCTGCAAACACTCAGCAGCGCACAGCGAAATTTTGGGACCTTGAAGTTCATTCAGAGTAAACTGACGTCGAGGATCCTCAGTAGTCGCAGTTGGAAATCTTCGAAGTCACCCGGATTTTGAAACCTGGGAGAGAGTGCCCTTTTGGCTAGAACTACCGTTCAGTTCTGAGGAGTGGCAAGAGAGCTGATCGCCATGCGCAGTCCATCCCCCTCTAAGTCCCTACACATAACACCGACAGATTTATTATTTGTCAGTCACATGGAGTGGAGAGTGAGTCGTGTTAGGCCATACGGAAAGAGATGGGCATCCCATGTCCCCCCACTTAGCGGCAATTGGACACTCGATATGCCCCAGTCGAGCTCTGGTTTGAATGAAGATGGAGTTTGTAATCAAATGCAGGGCATTAGTCATACACCACTGTACATCACTTATTATTGATTTTTTCTGTTTATTTATCCATCTTTTGAGAATCCGGTAAACAATCTGTTGAAGATCTCAGTACGTCCAGTAAACGGTGAACTGTATGCGGATTTGGTTGTGAACGGGCAGCTTGATCGAGAATATCGCGACAAGTACGAACTGATTGTCGAGGCGATCGATGGCGGCAAACCAGCAAAGTATGAACACCTTTTTAATTCACCACACAATACTACGAATTGATTTCTGAATGTCCCAATTAGTATCAGTATTATTTCCGTTGAGTCCTACAGTTAGACAAACGCTTTGGAAAGCGTTCTGGAGCTTTCAGTACTTTATTTAGTTTTTGTGTATCACAAATGTTAAGTGCCTAATTTGATGAAGTGCCGTGTTGTACAACATGAGACGCGTGCGGCAGCGCGGCGACACAAAAAGCTTATTCCTTCTGGTGGTTGACTATCTTTCAGGTGTTCATAATAAGGTTGGTGGCAGCGGCAGCAAACCATATCAGTAGAGCTTCTAGGACCTCACGCTATGAATTCTTTATTTATTTTTTGAATATTTTTGTTTATTTGCGGTACCACAAAGTAGCACCGTATTGATTTTGTGTTCTTTGCTGGAAATAGAAGCAAATATATTTTCCATTATCAATTTTACTGCAAGGCGGTTTTTTATACTATAAGTTTCAGAGTTGGCCGCCTACTCGTGCACATCTTCATACTGGACGCCAACGATAATGCCCCGATATTCAGCCAACCACGTTACAGTATCACAGTACCCGCGAATCTTACCATTGGATCTCAGCTGCTCACCCTGAAAGCTACCGATGCGGACGTTGACAGCAACGGTCGAGTTGGATATCGCTTTCAGAAGGTTCGCTACTTTGAGCTTTCCTAGCGATCGGAGAAGTTATTTCCGAAAAGATCCTTGCTTTTTTGAAATCAGCAATATTGCTAGATTTCACTTTTGACTGGTTTTATTTGTCGTGGTATAATGCATGGCGCATCCTAATTCCGTTATGTTTTATGTTTTCCATTTATCAGTGGATTTTTTTGCAGTACCCGATACAAGAGTGACTGCACTGGTGCTGGGTTGTAGCCAAAGCTATGGGTCAGATGGGCTTGAACCCGCGTATGTGCTTTGCAAGCATCGTGCTTATCCACAGCACTATCACACTGAGCGTATTCCCTCACTGTTTCAGTGCTGCAGCGCTATCATATCATTACGGTATCGCTGTTGCCACCCATACGTTATAAGTTAAAGCTGAGGGAAGGCGCGCGAGGTCTTGGCAGTGAAACGGCCGAGTGTGGGGCTCGGAATTCGCAAGTGCTGGCTCGAGTCCTATTCTAAACCAAGCATATCGTTGATTGAGCATTTTTGTGATAAAAGTATGTAGTATTCAAGTGGGTAACAATGAAATGGTGTTCAGCTCCACCAGTTTCGGGTGAGGAGACCTGGGATTGCGTCCATTGAGGTGTGTCAAAGGCTGTGATCACGAAGGCTGAAAGTCGGAACGATTTGATGCCGTCATTGCGCGCTATTGGTCGAGAAGCGTTGGTAGGTGGCACCGGCAAGCTGGGAGTCGCTTACCAATGACGTCATCAGAACCGCTTCGTCGTCCGGCCATCGTGTTCTCTGCCTTTGAGTGCATTCATGATTAGCTCAGTTGAATCAAGCCCTTACAGGCGCCGTATTTAATTAATATCGCGATTCGCAAACTCCCGTGGGCCCAGGTGGCTGGACCCGCACCAGGAAGCTATTTATATTTACGAAATAATTAAAATTGATGTAAGAGCCAAGACTTCGAAATAGGAGGTCTAAGGGCGGAAGTGGTGTAGTGGCAAGTGGCACGCTTACCACGCGAGCGGTCCGGGGATCAAATCCTGGGTCGTGAGTCGCCCGGGCCAACCAAGCCTTCCATCCCTCCGGGGTCGGTTAATTGGTACCAGACTTGTCTGGGAGGATAAAAACACTGACTTGTACATCGGCTGGCCCCCGCAAGTCATTGTATAGGCCACATCGCATTCAAACGCCACTACGAATGTACAAATGGAAGTAGAATGCGTGCCGCATCCCAAAAAGGGATTGATCAACGGCAAATGCTTTATCCTTATCTTTTTTATCGTTTTCCTTCGATGTTGATCCAATTCCCTGCTATGCTCCCACTTTTCGAAGGCAATAACCACACCGCTTTAATCGTGAAATGCGAAGTAAATGAGTAGTGGCCCCATAGTGTTCAAACAATATAGCCAAGGCGATGGCGGCTTTGGTTTTGATGTTGGCGCTATCAATCTTCCCAAGGCGTCATCCCAAGACGAACTGGAAATTCTGTGTAGCCAATTCATCAATGCCCATGACTCACTCATCTGAGAGTATCTCCATAGAGACTTCTAGTGAGTTCATTTGCAGGGTTGACAATCGGAGATATCCCGAAATATAGCCCGGGGTAGAAAATTTCAACGGCTTCAAATGGGGCACTCGTTTGAAAGACTAAAAACTGCTGTTTGTCGCTGTTTTGGGTATTATTCCTAAAGCTATCTGGTGACTAGTGTAAACGATCTTGGGCTAAGTGGCACGCGTAAAGTCGAGCGTTGTCCTTGCGAACTACGACTTCATCCGCTTATTCCCGGATTTTTTGGCCTTGGTGGCGGGTTAATGGATTCTTTAGTATTTTTGTGCACACTTCCATTCAAGGAGGGTGCAGTGTGAACGCTTCGCTCTAAGATCGAAAATGAAACCACAGAGAAGTTGAGGTTGCTAAAAGCGGGGTGCGCTGCAGTTCTCCTCCTGAGGTCAGGCCACCTAAAACTGAGACGCCACTCATTTGCTCGAAGCAAGCTTAGGACTAAGCCTAGGCCCAATCATAGGCTTAGGCATAAGCCAATGTGTAAGCATAAGCCAAGCCTAAGCCTAAACCCAAGCTTAACCTTAGGCTTCAATGATCGCGCAGCTCTGGTGACCTGACCCTAGGAGGAGAAATTCTCCCGACCTGGAACCAGGGTCGGTCCTATCGTTGCTACTTTTCAAAAAGTTTTTACGACCCCCCTCCCTCATGAAATGTTTCATACGACCCCCTCTTTCAAAACAATTTTTACCCCAAAAAATTACCGTCGAGCGGGGGGGGGGTATTTTACCCATATTTCAACTGCTCCATTTTCTAGGGGGGATATATACGCGCGCTGAAACGGCAAATTTTCTCCCGCGCCGCTCCCCACTCATCACATGCAACTTCTTACAACCGAAGCAAGTACGACCCCCCCTACTAAACTCATCAAAATACGACCCCCCCGTTGCTACTTGTAGCAACATAGGGTTGACCCTCCCGACAGCTCCGCCCATCAGAGAGACACACCCAATGAACTGCGTAGTGTTGTGCCTTCCCAGTCTAACAATTGTGAACAAATTTGCGCTAGCTGATGCCGAGATAAGAAAATTTTGAGCTAATTCATTTGCAGACGCGATTCGACACGCTGGCTCTGTTCGCTCTGACGCCAAATGGTATCCTGTCGACCGCAGGCCATCTGCTCCCGGCGTCGTTCCACGATCTTGTCGTCGTCGCATACGATGGAGGTGTTCCGTCGCTGGAGACAACCGCTATTGTCACAGTCACAGTGCAAGGTGGGTGAAGCCTGAACGCGATGAAAAATGCTCTTTGGAAAGCAGAACTAGCGCGTCACCCTTGATATGAAACCACATTCTGGAGACGTGGCGTGTCGTAGTGGTAAGGGAGAAGTATAATGTTACATTGTTTTTATTGAATTAACCTCACATCTCTGGCACGACAGGATTCTGTCGAACACCTGCGTGACAACCCAGTTTCCGGCACTCCCCGCACCTGGCCGATCTAACCATGGATTCAGACAACGGGAGGACGCTGCTGTTATTGTTCCCTGAAGAATGTGTGTGTGCCCGTTGGACTGAACACGGCTCTTCTCCTCGTGCCAGGCTAAACTCCCTTCACTGCGGTAGTTAACGACCAGCGCTCTCTGACTCCACTGATATACAGTAGCGGTCAAAAGTCTTCGCCGAAATTGTTTTTCGACTGTAACTTTTTTTCCGCTGAATCAAATCAATTCAAATTTTAATATGTTTTAGAGATATTCCTACTTCACTTAAACGGCATATTTGTTTCGGATTGAGAGAGAGTTAAGAATGAAAAAAAAACATTTCACTAGAAATTCTCGCGTATGAGCAAATTCCAAGTAGGTTTCAAATTACTCTAGCAAGCTTACAATTCAACAAAACAATCTTACGCATGATGAATAACACTGGGCAGGTCCAATACTTTGTTAATGATCTTCTGGGTACGCTGAAATACTAACAAGGCCTAAGTAAGGAATCAGTCATTGAATGCACTGTCTACTAGGGCAGCTTCCTCCACTTCTCTTGAATTTGACGAGTTTCTCGCCCATATTTCCGGCTCTTATTTCCACCAAAGGTATCCCTACTCTTTCCCATAATGTTTCCGATGGCGCTCAGGACATTGGGTGTGAATTGTTCCCTTCGTTGAAAGCGCGCCATGCTGGCGAAGCCACTCCTTCACAGTAAAGGTGCGATGCTTTTCTTCGCACTAATGCTAGAAGGCGAGCTCAGTTTTGACCAACTGTCATACATGTGGATAAGAACTCCTTCTAGAACCCAACTGTATAGGCTGCCTTCACATGATTGCGAATACTGCGAAGTTAGTCGGCGGTGAAATGGTCGGGGGCGAAATGGGCTTACGCACACCTAAAGTGGGGATCCCCATAGGGCTACAACGTCCTGCGGACCAACGAGAGTGTATTCAAGATGTTTACCGGCGACTGAAATAGGAATGTGTGCGGTCCTGAGGGAAAACGTTTCGATCCAAGGAATTAACTGCCGTATGTAAAACTTGGCGGAGGCTCGCGTGTGGTAGTCCGTAAAAGAAGTTTTACAACTGCACAGGATTAGAGAAGTGGAGGATGCCGACGTATCAGATAGATTCTGGAAGGAGTGTTTCGTATTCGCTCGTATGAAACTGTACGTGACTGAGTTCGCCTTCTAGCTATAGAGCGACCAAAAGCATCGCACCTTCACTGTGAAGGATTGGTTTCGACAGCATGGCGCGCTTTCAACGAAGGGAACAATTCACACCAATGACCCGAGCGCCATCGAAACATTATGGGAGAGACTAGGGATACCTTTGGTAGAAATAAGAGCCGGAAATATGGGCGAGAAACTCGTCAAAGTTCAAGAGAAGTGGAGGAAGCTGCCCTTGTAGACACTGCATTCAATGACTGATTCCTTACTTAGGCCTTGTTAGTATTTCAGCGTACCCAGAAGATCATTAACAAAGTATTGGACCTGCCCAGTGTTATTCATCATGCGTAAGATTGTTTTGTTGAATTGTAAGCTCGCTAGAGTAATTTGAAACCTACTTGGAATTTGCTCATACGCGAGAATTTCTAGTGAAATGTTTTTTTTTCATTCTTAACTCTCTCTCAATCCGAAACAAATATGCCGTTTAAGTGAAGTAGGAATATCTCTAAAACATATTAAAATTTGAATTGATTTGATTCAGCGGAAAAAAAAGTTACAGTCGAAAAACAATTTCGGCGAAGACTTTTGACCGCTACTGTATATCGTACACTTTTCCATTTTTCTCTAGCTGGACCCAAAGGTTTTGTAGGTTTGCCTTAACTAGTCCACAAAGCACCTAGATAGTAACTGGTAGTTGTGGTATCAATACGAGAACTTATTGAGAGCATAACCGGAGTTTTCAAAACAATTTAGGTTCAGCTTCTTTAGGAACTTTTCCTGGACAGCACCCACGCAATTCTTTAATAAAATACCAGTCCGTTGACACGGAGACCGCAGTGGCGCCAGTTATTCTAGAGAACCCTAATCGACCCTCGGCACCATCGCTTTGCGCGGCCGTCGAGTGCTCAACGACGAGCAAACAGCCAAACAGAGTGCGTGAGACTTACAGAAGAGGAGACTGCACCCACGGTCAAATTTTTCAAATCCGATTTACTTTTCATTTTGCTAGCTTTTCAACTTCTTAACACACCGATCTTATTTCAGTGTTGTCAGCCTTTCCGGATGTCCATCGTTGTGTTTACGGCAGAGCCAGTCGCCTTCAGTCTACTTGCTGTTGGCCTGTGGATTGTTCGATCGTGAAACGTCACCAGAATATCATCTGAAGTTCAGTCTTCGGCGAGGCTCAGAGCTCGTACTCGACCATCCCGTGCTTCTCACAATAGGTCGGTTCCGCCGATTGATCGATCAATCGATTTTTCTCTAAAGTGAAATGTGGAGCCCACCTCCTTAAACTGGGTTCAGCTAGGAGTGTATGATTATCTGGATGACTGAGGTGCTCCATTTTCTTTGTAATCACCGGGCCCTGGTAGGATTTGGTCGCCTGCGAAAAGTGCAGAAGTGACGGGTGGTAGGTGTATGGCGTGATCAGGCGCGAGCGGCTGCGTAGCGGTCTCTGCACTCCTGACAGGATTTATATGGGCTCACTTGAGCTTCCTAGGTTCACAGTTAGCGGTAGACTAGCTCTGGTAGGTCAGATGAGTGCATTTTATCCTGCTTCATCATTTTTCACATCTCTGGATGAAAGACCCGCTTTTTCCCGTTTAGTTTTGTTTGTCCTTTCCCCATCTTCTTAACACACCACTTTGCTTGTTCACTTATTTGCCTATTTATTTGTTTATTTATTTCCTCGTTTATTTATTTATTCATCCACTTGTTTATTTATGCGTCCTTTCAGGTGATATCAACGACAACTCACCCAGCTGGCCCCATAGCAACATGCACATCACCCTGAACCGATCGATATCCGAGTCGGATCAGACCACAGTGTTGACGGCAAGCGACCCTGATGAGGGTATAAATGGTCGTGTTCGTTACAGTATTCTCGACACGGATTTTATAGCTATTGATCCCGATACTGGGCGGTTGAGCCCGCTGAAGGAGGTAAGTCATTGACCGTTGGCAGCTATTGTACAGGGTCATCAGCTTACTACCCAATTTCAGCTGGATTGTTCCCTTGGCTCAGAGGTTCGATTCAAAGTGCGAGCTACTGACGGTGGTGCGCCCAGTTTGTATTCAGGTAAATGGATTACGGTAGCTTAATTGTTGTGCGACTGCACTAATCAGCCTTTTCAGATCTTCAAGTAATAGCTGATCTCGTCGACGGTTACGGTAGGCCGCCACAGTTTGAGAAGTCGCTCTACGAGGTGCAGATTGCTGAGGATAGCGAGATTGGCACCTGTTTACTAAAGGTACTAGTTTTGATGGGTTTGAGCGGTTACCGTACTCGTCATACCGTACTATTTGCACTAGCAGTGACAGCTTCATGATACGCAGCTGACAGGTCTCATGTGTGCGCGTGTTTGTCTACATAGCGAAGATGTTTGTTTGGCCGACTGCCAAATGTGACAGCCCTAAAAGGGCCACATCGAGGGACTAAACAGGTTCAGATTTATCACAGAACATGACAGGCGATCAATATCTATCTATTGCACGGAACCTGTAAAGTCTATAAAGGAGACACAAAGGCACACAGAAAGTAATGGAAATGAATTTGGCTGTATAGAACAGAAAACGTAATTGTAATGGCATCGGCAAACCCATTTCGTTATATTTGGCCTAGCATGGCTATATTTAGCCAGGACAGGATATTCACTTAAGAACCTGAAGTAATCCTATTATCAGATGAAACGACCTAAACAACAAGTTATAGGGACGATATAGCTACCTACTGAAGCACAAAGAAAAATACCCCTAGAACTATTCCTATCTACCCATGAGCACAAAAACAAGGAGTCGGGTCTTTGTCGTTGACAGAAAAGTGTTGTCGGAAATCGGAACCCGGAACGGCAACAGCCATCTAAAAAAATAAACGCTCAGCGACCTCGCAAGGGGACGACAAGGTGATCAAAGGAAATACGACACACTTTTGATCCTATGCGCTCCGAATTCCGACTTCCGACTGAACATGAAAGCGGAAGATTGTCTCGTTTCCTGCCCATTCTTGCATTAACCAATTTTGGAATCGTTCCAACCTTGCCATTAACGATTCACATATATCATCACAGCTATTGCCCCAAGATTCAATCCAATCCTTTGCCAGATTCACTTCGAGATCTTCTTAGCCGACGCAGGCCGCTTTCCACTTGGTGTGCGTGGCTTTGACGCGGGATCGGTTCGGGTTCTTGAGCGCGATCGCGATTTTCCCGTCGCGGGTCGTGCCGCGGCTTCGTCCAGCATTTCCAACATGTCAGCACCTTTGCCTTTCTTCTTTTTGTCATCAGATGACGTCAGCTTCATCTGAAATTCAGGGTTTTTAGTAGAAATGGTCAACGAGGGTATGGTTTTGATGAGATCGGCCTTGCAGCCTTGTTCGGGATCTATGTAACTTCATAAGTCAGGGGTTAGGTGCAGCAAGGCCGGACCGGGAATGAGTTTGCAAAACTCTGACTCTCAACAGCGGTCGACCCAGTCGTCATGGTCAAAAACAGGGGATGCGTCCAGAGATGCACAGCTTTGCAGGCTCATCCCCGGCCAAGGCTTGCTACACCCGGCCCCATGCGGCTGTCAAATCAGAAGCGGGGATGATGTACCGTGCTATTTTGAGGGGACAAGTATTTTGGCTTGGTTGGATCAGGGATAACTTGATTGGATGGTAAATTGGTGTGGAATCATCGAAACCGTGCCAGTCTCCTTGATGTCTTGATTGGCATAAGATAGGAATATTTATGGAAAGGCCGTGTCACAGGTAGAAGAGGGAAGCCTAAAGGGAGTCTGCACAGGACAAGAGGAACTTGAGAAAGTGCGAAATATTTGAGAGCATTTTACGGCGCTCATTTCGTTAGGGGGGGGGGGACATTCAAGTTAGTGACCCATATGCAGTACTTGGTACTATGCCTTAGGAGGGGCAGGCATTTAGGAGGTGGATGTTAGCCATTATTTGTTCTCTCTGACGTTTCTGGATCATCTACCAACGGTTTTTGATGACCTGTTTTCAGAGTCAGAGTAATGACATGAGTAGTAGTTCACGCTTTTTCGTGAACAAAACCTCTCTAAAGAGTGTAATTCAGGCTTTCCTGATGCGGGAATCGGTGTGAAATCACAGTGATTGATGGAAAACAGTGCGGCCGGTGGGAGCAAGAAGGAGTGCTTTCTATGGTCCCACACCCACAAATTGTAACCTCGTAGGAAAGGGAAATAGAACTAGGCCCGGAAATCGAAATGATTAGGGATAACTGGATTAGGTGGTACAAATGGTTGCTTTTTGGCATTGATGCCCCACAATTAACGCCTAAGTCGCGGGTGTTACTGGTCTATTTATACCCCCCCTATTGACGTCTTGTGTCCTCTAGTTGGATAATCCGATGTATAATAGCACCTTGAGTAGGCTTGGAAAGAATCTAGGGCTATTTTTGAATGGAACGTTGGTCGATTAAGAATATGACTTTGCACTTGAGCATAAGACCTTCCTATTGAAGATCCTAATCCTTTCCTCATTACTCAACTAGATTTGAAAGTTTCCCAAAATAGAACGGTGGTCGACCAATGAACGGGGCGCTGGGCCTGCCATTGACAAGCGATTTCTCTGCCGTCATCTGGAAAATTCCCTTGGGGATCATTGCATTCCGTCGAAAATGAATTCGACTCGAGGCGTAAGGATTTTCATCTATGAAGGGGAAAAGTGGACGAAAATGGTCGAGGGCCGTGAAACTTCACCTCAGATACCGCAGTTCGATATCGATTTCTTGTCTTTGGAAGCATCGATTTTCAGCACGTTTTTGAGCACCGCTTCGGTTTCCTTTACGTAGGTTGATTCTTCCGTGGTTGAGTCGAACATGTTGAGATCCACTTCGCCTTCTGTAACAACATTTTGGTTACAAATATGAATTTGATCAATTTTTGAATCAATTTTTCAAATATAAATCTTGCATGCTTTTATTTGGCTCGCCACCTTGTGCAGACCAAACACACGCTCAAATACTCCCTGGGCTCCTGAATGGGATATAGGGATAGATGTG